TTTGTAACATTTTAAAACATTCAACCTCTCTGCCGATCCTACACTGCATCCCAGACAAAGACTTGAGAAGCGATTCCCTCCATAGTCAATGAAAACATCAACGTCTTCTGAAACCATGGCTGATGCATCTCCTGCTAGCTTTACTTTTACAGTCAATGATAAAATCATACTTCAAAAGACAGTCCTCCCGTCTGATCATCCTTTAAACCTGACTTTCAGGTTTCATGTTTCATGTTGGCACTGCCTGCAGCAACACACCCACACCTCTGCAGCTATTTGGGATGTTTTGCTGGAGGCCTATTGACAATATGAACATAGGCAAACCAATACAAGTTTATAAAAGCCCTGTTTGGTCTGGGTTCAAAAATGTTTAAGAAAATGCAATAAAAGGGATAAAAGAGAGCAGCTGAAGCACAGAGCGTATGCGGTGGGGTTAAAACCTGTACTCCTGCCCCCCCGAGGGGGTCTCCCCCAGTGGGGTGTCCGAGGCTGCGTCCCACAGCATCTGGTAAAAGACCAGAGGCCTGTACTACGAAGCTGGATTTTCGCTTAGCCGGCTAAATTCAGGGAAATCTCGGGCTTTCCGGTCCTACGACGCTGGTTCTCTTTTTAGCGGGCTAGATTTCCATGGTAACTTATGCTGAGCGGCAAACCTGCTCCGGAGCAGGTTAGGTGGCAGGCTAAGAGATCAACTCAGTGAAAGCACCGCCTGCTGACCAATCAGAGCTCTGTGTGCGGAGTTTAAAGCGATCAAGTCATATTACAGGATAGAGGAAATACAGAAAAACTGCCGTTGCAGGAAAGACGGCCGGCCAAAATCAACTGACTGTGTAAACGTGAAAATTAATAGAATATCACCTCCCATCTTCAGAGCAATCTGACTATTATAATATTAGCGTTAAGAAAGCTTACTTAAATATCTGCCACGACATAAGTAACCGGATCAGAGTAACATTAAGTACAGTCCGCGGCACTGTGAGTGCAGACGTCGATGTGTCCCATTATCATTCATATCATATCACATCATAATGTATCATATATTTCCTTATCTGAGTCAGCTTCTTGAGCCGTATCTGGCCGTGCAACACTCACAGTGTCACATACTGTATGCAGAAGTATTATTTTAAGCAACACATTAAGTTGACGAAACACTCGAGTAAAATGTAATTAAAGTCAGATCGTGTCTTGGACGGGGCAGTGATTTCATAAACCTGTTAATGTACGCATTCAAACACTTTTTCTGTTACCAGCTGTATTCACCTTGCAGGTGCAGCTATGTGGCTTTTATCCTGGATAAAGTGTTTAAGTCATGGATGTTTAAAGTTTAACTTCTTCATATTTGACTAATATTAAAGTTCACTTTTCATTCAGGAAGTATGACGCTGCGCTGTCAGTACGCTTGTCCGTGTTTGAGATTGGTCGAATGCTCCAAATACCACCCCTTTCATGTGAACGCGCACCTAACTAGATAGGACACGGCTGGCTTGAGCGATCCACTTGATAACCAGCGTCGTAGTACAGCTTAGCGAGAGCGCGTATGTTTTGGATTGGGCCAACCGGCTAACTCAAACATATCCAGGTTAGGTTGAACCAGCTTCGTAGTACAGGCCTCTGGTAAGTGGGTTAAAAACATCTGGCTAAAAGGACCGAGGTTGACTTTGTTTAAAATCGGCATGCAGGTAAAATTAGTGTAAAAAAATTATAAATAAATACATAAAAGTGCTTTTAAAAATAAGTGCTGGTAATAAAAATCACATCAACCCAAATGTTAAAATATGTATAATATAAAACAAATATGTAAAATGTAAAATATAAAATACACACGGGTTAGTAGGCACACGGGGAGGGGAAATATCTTAAAGTAAAGTCAACCAAGTGTCCCTAAAAGTGTTTCAAACCCAGGCCAAGGTCTAGAGGGGGGGTGCAGGTGAGACATGGGACACGCCTCGGATGATGTTTAAAAATACTTTATTAAGGGCTTGTTTCAGGGTGTTTCCCTGGGGGAGGGTGTTTCCCTGCGGGAGGCTCCAACATCCATTTAAAAGTAAATGGAAAGTAATAACTCAAATATAAATAAAACAATATAAACAATGTTTAAATAGGAAACGGGGGATTAATAATATATAAAAAATAATCAAATATATAATCTCCTCATTTGGAACCTAATGACATAAGGGTTAGGGTTAGGCATCTGTTGGTTATGGTTAAGGTTAGGATAAGTCTCCAGGAAGTGCATGTAAGTCAATGTAATGTCTCCTGAAGTGATGTATACATGGTGTGCGTGTGTGTGTGTGTGTGTGTGTGTGTGTGTGTGTGTGTGTGTGTGTGTGTGTGTGTGTGTGTGTGTGTGTGTGTGTGTGTGTGTGTGTTTCCATGTCATTTTGGAAATCAATAGTTGAGGCTTGAATTTAATATTTTGCCATGGCAACTGCTTTTATAGTGGTGCAAGTGAATTACAATTCATTACATTCATTCAAATGAGTCTTCCTGTGGTCCATCC